GAGAGAGAGAGAGAGAGAGAGAGAGAGAGAGAGAGAGAGAGAGAGAGAGAGAGAGAGAGAGAGAATAACAGAGAGAGAGAGCAACGGTCGGCCTTGTGAGGTGCATGCATAGCTAGCGGCGACGGATAACGCATTGTGCGTGCGTGCGTGCGTGCGTGCGTGCGTGCGTGCGTGCGTGCGTGACGCCTGACTTTCTGTTATGACGTGTGGCTACACTCCCCGTCTTCTCCCGCCCCCTGCACAACCCCTCCTACCCTACCACCTCCCCCTGCTGCCCTCCGCTCCCCACCCACTTCCACCACACACCCCACTCCCCGACCACCACCCCTACACAACCCCCGCTCCCACCCACTGAATGACCCACCCACACCCTCCCACCTGCCCCTCGCCCGTCATCCTCCCTCTGTCGCCCTCCCCCTCGACCACCTACCTTCCCCCACCCGCTCGTCCTTCCCCCATACACTCGACGACACTGCGCGTCTGCCCCGAGGCAGCTCCTCCAAGACGCGTGGGTGGTGACGGTGACGGAAGCGGCGGTGACGGCGGCGGTGGTGACGGCGGCGGTGGTGGCGGTGACGGCGGCGGTAGTGGTAGCAGGGGGCATGGGCGTATACCTACATCACACGTCGTTAAAAAATCATCGCTTAGTCTCTCTCTCTCTCGTTCTCNTATATATATATATATATATAATTTCTCACATGCAATGTAAAACAGTTCGGAACAGTACAAAAATATCCGTGAAGAATGATTGAAAACTAACAATGTATAAAGAATATATAAGAGCATATAAAGAAGTAACAACTAACAACTTACTAACAAATACATAAATTATAAAATAAAAACATATATAAATGAATAAATAAGTAAATAAATAATTAAAACGAATAGATCATCCAGAAACTGGATCCGGCTTTGAACCATGTCACGTGGCTCACCCCCGTGTATCACGTGTCTATTTGCAGACGATGCGACGACGTGTCCGTGCGACGACGACAACCGCGTCGGCTACCGTCCGCCGTCGCCGCCCGAGCAGGCGCTCGATCTGACGTCACGTTCGTCGCGCGCCGCAGCAGCCGACCCCGTCCGCACGCCGCTGACGTCATACGTCGACCACCCGGTGTCGCCACAAGCGGGCTTCACCGCCCGTCAGGTCGCCGAGCCGGTCGCCATGGTAACGGGCGCGCCCGGTGGGAACGCACACGCGCATGCGCGCCGCTCACCGACGGAGCTGCCGTCGTCGTTCGAGAAGACGACGGATGTGACGTCACCGGGGTTCTCGTCGATGATGTCACTCGGCGAGTACCCGACGTCGGCCGGCCGACCGATGATTACTTCACCGGCGCAGCCGGCGATGACGACGACCGGACAGCAGGGATTGATGACGTCGTCACAGACGCGCAGCGTCATACGCACGTCGCCGAGTCGGCCGGCGATGACGTCACCCGACCGTCCGGGTCGCACGCCGCCGCTGAGCCCCCTGGCGGGAACGCACGTCAACATGCCGTTTTTGCAGGCGCAGGTGAGCGAATGTTCTCGGTGTTCATTGTCGTTGTTCATATGTTCTTCATTCGTCGTCGCCTTATTCTCTTTCCTTTCGTCTGCGTTCTTCATTTCTTCGTTTCTTGTTTTTTTTTCTCCGTTTTTCTGTACGTCGTTGTTTCGTTTTGCATGTTTTGTGCGTTTTTGCGACCGTGCTGCGCTCTCGCGTTCGACTTTCGTTAGGGACCTATCACGCGTGCGTGCGTGCGTGTTATGTGCGTGCTTGCGTACGTGCGTGCGTGTTATGTGCGTGCT